TCTAGTTGTGGGTCCTTCTAGTTGTGGCATGTGGGATGCCACCTCAACGTGGCTTATGAGTGGCGCCACATCCCCACTCAGGATCGGAACCAGCAAAACCCTGGCCCGCCGGAGCAGAGCGGGTGAACCTAACCACTCGGCCACGGGGCCGGCCCTCTCTGAATATATTTAAATAGCAGAATTAAAGTCTGTCCAGTAAGTCTACAGTTCCTTTTTTTCCCCTGTGTATGGGTCATACTTCCTTTGCACATCTTGTAATTCTTTTCTTGAAAACCGGACATTTCAAATAATACAGCAACTTTGGAAATCAAATTTTCCCCTTTCCATGGTTTGTTGTTGTTATTTCTTACAGTTGCTACTGTTTAGAGACTTTTCTTAAGTAATCCCTAAAGTTTGTTTAGTTAGCTTAGTGGTCAATTTCTAACTGGACAGAGATTTCCTTAAACACCTAGAACTAGCAAGTCTCCCAGTCTTTGCCGAGGGACTGTGTGTATGTGTTGGGGCATGCCTTCCATAATCAGCCAGCTAGGCGACAATTCTGCCTTGGCTTTCACTTCCTGCTTGTGCAGAGCCTCAAGGTCAGCCAGAGTTGAGAGCTTAGTCCTTCTTAGGTTTTTCCTGAGCATGGGCACAGCTGCACAAAGCCCTGGGCATATGTGTGGCCTTCTAGATTCCCAAAAATACATCAGAGCTTTTCGAAACTCCTATGAAGCCCTCATTCCCCAGCTTTGCCTTTTAAGCTTTTTGGTGAGTCTATTGTTTGCCCCAGTGGTTATCTACCGCCTCAGGCAGCTGTTGGGGAAAAGGCTTTAGTCTTTTTAGACTTGGCAAGCTCTAAGTCAGGGACAGTCTTGTGAGTGGGATCTTCTAGGAAACCACTAAACAGGTCAAAAAAAGAATTCTTGGGGGCTGGCCTGGTGGCGCAGTGGTTAAGTTCGTACATTCCACTTTGGCGGCCCAGGGTTCGCTGATTCAGATCCCAGGTGCGGACATGGCACTGCTTGTCAAGCCATGCTGTGGCAGGCGTCCCACATATAAAGCAGAGGAAGATGGGCATGGATGTTAGCTCAGGGCCAGTATTCTTCAGCAAAGAAAGAGGAGGACTGACAACACATGTTAGCTCAGGGCTAATCTTCCTCAAAAAAAAAAAAGGAGAATTCTTTGGGAATGAGGCTTTGAAAGAGCTCCAACCCCATTTTACTCCCTCTAGTGTCTGCCAGGCCACTGGTTTTCACTGTGATTGCGGGCAGTTGGTTTTCAAGGTCACCAGGGAGTTGAAAAGGGGTAGGGAATAGGGAATGCCACAAAGCTCACTGTTCTTACTGAGATTCAGCTGTTTTTCTTTAATAATCACTCCCTGAATTGCTACAAGCATTTTGTAAATTTCCAGAGTCCTGAAAAAGTTGATTCTGTTAAATTTTTCCAGTTGTTTCACTGCGTTTATGGAGAGAATTTTCTGAAGTCCTGACTCTGCCATCTTCACTGATATCACTCAGGTTTTCTTTTTGAAAAAATGCTAAGCAGGTTTACCAACTTATTTTCGGGAACTGTGTGTGAACAGCAGCTTTCACTACCATGAGAATAAATATAAGAACATAACAGCATTTCCAAAGAAAAAAAATTTTTTTTTTAAGATTTTATTTTTCCCTTTTTCTCTCCAAAGCCCCCTGGTGCATAGTTGTTTATTTTTAGTTTTGGGTCCTTCTAGTTGTGCACGTGGGATGCCACCTCAGCATGGCTTGATGAGTGGTGCCATGTCCAAGCCCAGGATCTGAACTGGTGAAACCCTGGGCCGCCGAAGCAGAGCGCACAAACTTAACCACTTGGCCCCAGAACATTTTAATCAAATTAAACATATACTAAAGTTAGGCTAATAGTTGGGTTACTGACATGCATACCAACAGCAGTCTGCATAGAAACCAGTAAACAATTAAGTGATTAACTACTTTTTAAAAAATCACTCATGAATATTGCTTTTATATAGCAAAACAGGCATTTCCAAGGTCAGCTGGGGACACAGAAAAGGGGAGCTATGAAGAGTAACAGGAGGCAGTGCTAGGGTTTCTCAGCCGTGAAACCCAAGAAATCCTCCTCCTTCCCTGCACTTATCTTTGAATTAAATAATAGTATAGTAAGTACTCGCCTCCTGCTTACCCTCTGTCGTCCTAGGTTCCATAAGCTCCCTGAGAACATACCCTGATCTGTCCTGATCACCAGTGTATCTCCAGGGCAAAGTTCAGTCTCCCACATAATGGAGTGTTATAGACATTTGATGAATGAGTGATGACGCTGGCAGCCAGAATCAAGCAGCCTCAAACAAAGAAACAGGAAAGGAGTTTGTGACCTTGGCTGGGAAGCCTGTTGGGAAAAATACCTCACTACTCAGCTTTCCCCAACTTTGGCTTCTTGGTGGAGTCTGACGCAAAAGCTGCTCACCTGGCCCAGGCTCTCAACACCTGGCCAGTGAGTCTGTCAGGCGGAGTTAATGCCAAATACCAGAATGAGAAATTCACCTCAAGAAATGCAGGAGTAAAATCAGTCCTGAGAAAGCTCACACTTTCATGTGACTTTAGTGTGAAATCTGCTTACAACACAATATTTAGGGAAAAAAAAGTTTTAATACCACGTTTATCTGGCTCCGGAACCCATGTTCTGTCCACTGAACTGCTCAGTCCCTGGCCCTTTAGGTTTATTCACTTTGTGGGGAGACACATGCAAGTGTCAGTCAAATAACTTGACTGATATCTTTCAACATCTAAATTTTGCAACCTAGTCCCTGAGCACAGATTCTACATACATCAAGCAATTTTCTGACTGGAGTTTGGCTTTGTGTAAATATCTTCTGGGAAAATCATGCTGACCAGGCCAACAAGAGAATTTGGCTTCTATGGTGTTTCTATTTCTCTCTGTAAATTAGTAACTGGTTTACAAGTGTCACTCTCCCGTGAGTTGATTAACACAAGTTAGCGTCCCCCACCATGAGCAATCAACTACCCCTGACAAGAGTGAGTGTATGAACAAGGCTGAGGACTACTGCAGAGGCCTCTTGGCAGCCACCAGCTTCTGGGGACACCATTCTCAATTCTCAACCCACTTACTCACTTCAAGGGGGTCCCCAAATTGCAATACAAGTTGCCTTCACCTATGACACAAATGTAAGAAATCTTATCTTGCCTTCATAATCCAAGGGAATGACATCCTAAAATAACAGAGTAACATGCATTTGCAACTCCTGTCAACACAGAACTATGCACCCAGCTTCCTTGATGGGTCACACCCAGAAGTGACCAGACACTACAGAGCAGGAGCCACAGTAAGAGTAGGCCTTGAGACAGTAATCAGCAGGATCCATGGAAAAAAGATGCTGAATCCAGAATCAGAAGGCACAATCCCAATTCCAAAGTTACCCAGCCGAATCACAAATTATCCCATTGGCTTTCTTATTTGTTAAATGTAGGTAGTAGATGGCTACCACTTTTTAGTATCATCTCGTTCTTTTCTCTTTTTTTAAAAGATTTTGTTTTTTTTTCCTTTTTCTCCCCAAAGCCCCCCAGTACATAGTTGCATATTCTTCGTTGTGGGTCCTTCTATTTGTGGCATGTGGGACGCCGCCTCAGCGTGGTCTGATGAGCAGTACCATGTCGGCGCCCAGGATTCGAACCAATGAAACACTGGGCCGCCTGCAGCGGAGCAAGCGAACTTAACCACTCGGCCACGGGGCCAGCCCCTCGTTCTTTTCTTTTTTTGAGGAAGAGCTAACATCCCTGCCCATCCTCCTCTACTTTATATGTGGGACGCCTGCCACAGCATGGCTTGATAAGCGATGCGTAGGTCGGCACGTGGGATCCAAACCGGCGAACCCCAGGCTGGCCCCATCATCTCATTATTTTCATAGTGTTAGAAAACAAATGGATCTGATTGAAGCTTCCTTTACTTGCCTGTGTAGAAAACAAGTCAGATCCAGGTTCCAATCCCAGCTCTAACCTCCTCTGTGCTGGGGCAGTGAGATCCTGAACCAAGTACTCTCTCAGGGTCCAAGTTCCTTCACAGTAAAATGAAGAGGTTGAATTCAATCTCTTCAAACATTATGAAAACACTTAGAAGGCCAAATGTGAAATAAAGTATTTCAAATAAAGCAGGAGGAAGTTAAAAAACAGACAAGGCATAGACAATTGTTATTCTTCATAATCACCCTGTCAAGACTTGACAGCTAAGCCCTTTAAGAGGCTACTTCAAACCAAAAAACTATGAAAGAAAACTATTTTTGACTCTGTAACACATTCTCAGGTGAAAGCTGGAACATTTGCCACTTAGTCAGATAAGCTGTAAACTAAGTGACATCCTACTTTTCACAATGCTTCTCTAAATCCAGCCTGCCTGTCTCCCAAGACCACTGCACCACTAAGTGGAGCACCAACCAACAATGGATCTTGGGAGAGCAGCCTTGCAAATTAAAAAACACTTTCTTGGGGCCGGCCCCGTCGCTGAGTGGTTAAGTTTGCGCGCTCTGCTTCAGCGGCCCAGGGTTTCACTGATTCAGATCCAGGGCGTGGACATGGCACCGCTCATCAGGCCATGCTGAGGTGGCATCCCACACGCCACAACTAGAAGGACTCACAACTAAAATACATAACTATGTACCGTGGGGGGGGGGGGGGGTGGTTTGGGGAGAAAAAGCAGGAAAGAAAAAAAGATTGGCAACAGTTGTTAGCTCAGGTGCCAATCTTTAAAAAAAAAAGAAACAGTTTCTTGATGTACAAGATACAAACGATGTAAAGAAGGGCCAGCCTCTACAGGAACTGTTGCCAACAAGCTACCACCTAGTCTTCAGAGCTACCAAGGTTAACACATTCCCTCACTACTTTGTGAAGTAAATGAGGCAAGCACTTTTATTTTCATCTGACTCCGGCCCATCCTCAGCAGCACCGGGGGTATGACCAGAGCCTAAGGTTCACAATTCCCAATCTGGCACTAATCACACAAAATATACACATATTTACCTGGCATTGTCTGTCCTCTGAGACCCTCCGACTCGTGTCCTGTGTGAAGCAGACCTCCTCCTCCTCGCTCTTATTGGCCCCACACCACTGTCTGAGGGTGGTCTTAGGAATTGCAGCATGCCATGAAGCCTCTGCAGCCCACTGATGAAGCTGTTCACTGAATTCAACGAAGACACTCCAAGGGTACGGTTAGCACCAGATTCCTGTGTATGTTCCTCTGAAGGTCCTGGGTTGACGTTCTCCACACTCCCTTCTCCCAAGAGCTCCACTTCCTCTGTCAGGTCAATGGACACCTGTGGAGCAGGCTGGAGCAGGGGTGGTCCCCTTTGGCTGCTGACCACATCAGCAGGTGCAGGCTGAAGCAGGAGTGGCCCTCCTTGGCTGCTGACCACTTGAGCAGGAGCAGGCTGAAGCAGGAGTGGCCCTCCTTGGCTGCTGACCACTTGAGCAGGAGCAGGCCGAAGCAGGAGTGGCCCTCCTTGGCCGCTGACCACTTGAGCAGGAGCAGGCCGAAGCAGGAGTGGCCCTCCTTGGCCGCTGACCACCTGAACAGGAGCAGGCCGAAGCAGGAGTGGCCCTCCTTGGCTGCTGACCACCTGAACAGGAGCAGGCCGAAGCAGCAGTGGCCCTCCTTGGCTGCTGACCACCTGAGCAGGAGCAGGCTGAAGCAGGAGTGGAGCTCCTTGGCTGACCACCTGAGCCGGAGCAGGCTGAAGCAGGAGTGGCCCTCCTTGGCTGCTGACCACTTGAGCAGGAGCAGGCTGATCTGCAGCAAGATGATCTAACTGCACGTGAAGATCATATTCCATTGCTTCATGAGCCATTACTGGGAAAGCAATAGTTGTAAAATGTATTAGCAAAATAAAAAACATACGATGTAGCTGATATAATCATATCTAGTCTTGTAGAATTTGTTTAAAATCATTCTCGGCAAAACTGAGAAGCTTAAAGAGAAGATTTTAGTTACTTAGTTTAAGTCAGAGTGTTTTGGTAATCATCAACTTTTTCCTCCATAACAAGCACTTATAACCAGTTTTCCAGTTCCACCCTTGAAAACATGAAGTCATGTGATCATAGCACTGTCTTCTACAATAGAAAGATCTATAAAATATGGAGATTGAACTATTCTCCCAGACCTCTTGCAGTTCTTTGTCGCAACCTGAATATGGATATTTACCAAAACAAATGCATAAAATGCTGTATTTAATTCTAGTAGGCAACATTCATCCTCATGGCACCAAGTTACAAAGCATAAACAAAGGACATGTTTACACTTGCAAAATTAACTTGATTACTAACTCAAAATGGAAGTTTACCTAATTTCTCCAAAAAGGCTGAGTAACCTTTATTTACCCGATTCTTTTCATTATCTTTGTTTCCCATCTCTAATTCCACTTGTCAGTCTAGTCAACAAATACTTATCAATCACCTGTTATGTCTCTTTCATTATGTTTTCCATTTCTAACTGCATTACATCAGTCTATTCAAGAAATACTTATGAAGAACCTGTTATGCAGTCAGACACCCCAGAGGCAAAGACAAATCTCATATAAGAGTTTACAATCTATGGGGGCCGGCCCCACGGCCGAGTGGTTAAGTTCACACACTCTGCTTTGTGAGCCCAGGTTTGGTTCCTAGGTGTGGACCTACACCACTTGTCTGTCAGTGGCCATCCTGTGGCAGCAGCGGCTCATATACAAAAAGAAGATTGGCAACAGATGTTAGCTCACAGTGAATCTTGCTAAGCAAAAACAAAAACAAAAACAAAAACAAAAATGCTGATCATATGAAGAGCCAAAAAAGTTTCAGAAGGAAATCAGTAGGCAGGGTCCCTGGTGAGCATGGATTTGGTGCTTTTGAGAAGAAATCACTGTAAGGAAGAGCAGATAGTATGGGATGAGTTGATGAGGCAGGATGCTATCACTAAAGGCCTCAAGGGCCTTGGTAAGGGCCTTCTCTGTTAGGAATGGACTGTAGGGGAGCAGAGTGCAAGCAAGGTGACCAGTTTATAGGCTACTGTGGGAGTGTAAATTAGTGGTCAGAGGCTTGACAGCAGTGGAGATAGAAAGGAGTAGACAGCTTTAAGAATCCTCAGCATAGTCACGTTACTTAAAATCATGGGATAGATTAAACTACCTAAGAAGCAATAGAGATAGAAGACAAGTGGGCCAAAGACTAAAACCAGAGAGACTAACATTAAAACGACAAGAGTTATAGGAAGAGAAGCCAGTAAGGAAGACTACGAGTAGGAGGAAACCTGGAGGAGTATGGTGTCTCGGGAGAATGTTTCAAGGAAGGAATGCTCAAGTGTGTCAAGTGCTACCTGGGGAAGAATGGCCACTAGACTCAGCAACATGGAGATGACAGCCAATCCAGAAAAGAGTAATCTCCCGTAAGTGATGGGGTCAGAGGCCAGACTGGAGTGGGCAGAGTAAATGGAGGGAATTCCAATATACATGGTGGATAAAGCAAAGTATCCTTCTCTCTCTAGTCATCCCTGAAAACCCATGAACATAACAACAAGCATTAAAAAAAGGATAAACCACAAGGACAAAGCATATGCAAACAGGATATAAGATATGCAAATCAGTTCTTTGAGGCCATAAAGGAGACTGATGACTGGCAATTACTTAGTAGAGCTGAAAAGATGAAACAACAGCCTGGAAAGAGGGAAATGTGTGCTATTGGTTTCCCACTAAGGGAACTGTAGAAACCAGGTACCACAGAAGGCAGCATTGAAAGATGGAGCTGCAAAGGAGGGCCGGTTGAAAGCCTGTAAAAGCAATCAGCCTGTCTCCCACTCAAACAACAAAAAGCCAGTCAGCCAAAGAAACAAACAAAACCTCCTCCCCGCTGTGCTGTAGAAAACTCGAAGTTTGAACCCGACAGGCTTAGGACCAGCATGGAAGGTGGCACAGATGTGACAATAAGGAGTTTTACAAACTGATCTGAAAGTCTACAAACTGAACAGTGTGAGGCATTTCCAACCTTTCTCCCCAGCTTTTTTCCCCTGCACAAATCCAGGATACAATATTCTGGTTTATATATATTCTCTATGCCCCAAAGCAGGGGATTAAAGGATTGTTCCCCAGAGAAAACTAGCTCAAGAAAAAAGATCTATAAATACTGACAGTTGTGAATCCCCCAAGAAAATGGCTGCATCTCTGTTCATAAACCTAACAGTAAAAGCCCACTGGTTGATAAGGTTCAGCCGGTCATACGGAGCTTTCAATCAGCTTTCTGGAGGGGGTCTCTCCTAATAATGAATAAATAGCTAAGGATCAACTGACATTTGAGGAAAGCCTCCAACATGACAGAAAAAGATCCAACTAGACGAACAGAAGAAACTTGAAGAGAAAAATGGGAGAAAAGCAAGAAACAGTAAAAAAAAAAAAAAAAAAAAGTAAATTAAAATTTAAAAAAATCCAAATTTCCAAGAAAAGAATGCCAGGGGAAAAAAGCACAAATCAGAAAACAATAATGAGTTCTTGGAAATAAAAATGACAGTCAAAATAAAGGATTTAATAGATGGATTGGAAGATAAAGTCAAGGAACTCTTCCAGAAAGTACAATAAAAAGATAGCCAAGTAAGACAATAACAAAATGAAAAGACTCAAGCCAGGATATCTGATTAACTGAAGTACCAGAAAGAACGAACGCAGAAAACCGAGAAGAAAGTAGCAAAAACCTCTGGTCAAGATAGAACCATAAGCTCTCTTCCAACTAAGAAGCCCAACATGGTAAAGTTTCCTCAAAAAAATAAATCCAACAGAAAAGATCAGGTTGCAAACAAATCCATTATAATTCCATTTTTGGGACATTTAAAAACATGCAAAACCATGCTACTATCTGGACTTATATACAATTGCAGAATAAAACAAGCCTGGGCATGAAAAATAACAAAGGCGGGAGAGGGAGGGTGCAGGGTACACACGAGGCTTCAACTATATATATATACATAGTATTTTTATTTCTTTAAAAAGAAATTGGAAGCAACTATATTAAAAGGTCAAGGGCAAAATTTGTTACATCTGGGTGATGAGTGCACATCTTTTGTTTTTTTTTATTATTCTCTGTACCTTTCAGTACAGTTAAATACTAGAAAATGAAGTAAATTTCTTCCCATCATATGCCAGTTCTGATTAGAAAGCAACCAGTTCAGATTAAAACAGGAAGGCAGACAGTCGAATCCTAGTCTGACTCATTCCTATATCCACAGCATCAAGTACCTAGCAGATGCTAAATACCTATTGAATTATCCATCATACACCTAAAAAAACCCAAACCAACCAAAAAAACCCAACAACTAAGAACATACCACCTGATGTAGAGAGATATAGATACAGCAGAGATATAGAACATCATCTCGGCAGAAAGTTCTATGGAACAGTGCTGTTCTGGAGCCAAGCTTCCCAGACAATGTGGGGAAATACGATCCCTCCAGTCCTTGGGGTAACCAGCGGTGCAAAAGACCGCCGGCTGGTCCCGCCAAGCCTTGAGCAGCCTTGTCCTTGACCTCGGCATGCCACACAAATGCTATTTTCTAGGTATGCCAAGAGAGTTGGTGCTTAAAATGTTAACCTCTCACTTGTCATCTCACCAAGCTTCGTTATTCAGATTTCAACGTCCTCAACAGGCCCCAATGAGCAAGGTAAGAGGCGGCCCCACCTCGGTACAAAGGATCCCTGCTCTGCCACGTACTACTTTCCCATCCTCTGTTAAACTGTAGGGTGGGGATAATGAAAGTATTTATGCCACGCTGTTGTTGTAAGGTAAAGTTGGATGAAACTAACGACTAGGTTTTCAGTTTACTTGAAAGCGATGCAAAGAACGGGCGCTCAACGGGAGGGCAGCCGAGGGACCTCGCACTCCCGCCCGCGGCGAACTCGGCTCGGTCCAGACGGTCCGAAGTTCCTGCCTTCCCCGTCCCCCACCCGACCTCGGGCACCCCCTCCCCCAGCAATCCCGAAAAGGCGGGGGTTCGGGAGCTCAGCCCCGACCGTTGGCGCCGCCCGGAGGGGCCGAACCTCCTCAGGCCGCCGGATTCCATGCCCGCCCGCAGCCCACCTCGTGGGACGTCCCCAGGCCCCGCATGCAGGGACCAACCCGGGTCGTTACCGCGGAGCCCGAGGCTCAAAGCCTGGGAAGGGGCAAGCGCCCTCCTCACCTGAAGCCGGAAAGGCGAGGTCCGGCCCACGAGGGCACCGCAGCGGCAGACCGTTTCTTTAGTAGAAATCGCCTACGCCAGGGCCAAACACCACTTCCTGGGCAGCTCAAGCTGCCCGCCCGCGCCGCGGGCGCAGCCTGCTCCTATTGGGCAGCAGTCCCAGCCGGCGGCCAATACCCTCTTTTCTTCTTCCTTTGGTCGCCCCTGGCTGAAACAGCGGCGCTCTCATTGGCTGGTCCCTCGTAAACTGACTAGGCGGGACCACGCGCGGGGAGCCCTCGTACAATTGGTAGAAATCTACGTCCGTCACCTCGCGCCCGTTTCCAAAGAGAAGAGCCGAAAAAGGGTTTTACCGCTTTTTATTTGAACTTTCTGGCGGGAGAAAGTTCTAAGGAAAAGATTTCTGGACCCATTTCGAAAAGAAGACGGAAATATTAAAACTGTGGCTCCTGCTGCTTCTCCCCAGCTCTTTAGCGAAGGAGCTGTCTTTATGCAAAGGCTGGTAGCTAATCTAATAATTTCAAAATATTGCCCCCAGAATTCTGGACACCATTAAGAGGCGTGGGACACTCCCCTTCATATATATCCTCCTGCGGGGTTGGAGAGATCGTGCAAAAGAACTTGCCTACACGATCTCTTCAATTTGAAACGTTTGCAATACATTGCCTGCTGCTAGAACTATCATCACATCGCTTAACTGCAAACATTTTTCAGTCATCTCGCTGAAAGACAAAATCTCACTTTTAAGAAGAAAACCTAAAAATGTAAACCTTAGACACAGACTACACATTGCCAAAATTTTATTTATTCAGCTACGAATTTTCAGTGAAATTGGTAGCAGAGGAGGCCATAAATAACTGAAAGTCATAGATAATCTGAATATTGACTTTTCGGTATTTTTCTCCTCTAAACTTTTCACCAAAGGCGGTATCAGCATTTGCACTTTTTTTCCTTTTCTTGCCTTTCTAAGGAAGTTGCTGCTGAGTCATAGAATGGCTCATATTAGGAGAAAGGAATTTTTTCTTTCATAAACAAACACATATATTAGGAGTAGAATGAAAAACGTTTTGAGTGACTCTCACTGTTGTATAAGTACTGCATGTCCAATGCAGAGAAATTAGACAATGCAGAGAGGCAGAAAAAAAATTGTCTCTATCCAGAGAAGTCGTTACCAACTTTGTTTAAATCTACATCTATCTAAATACAGTCATGCATCCCTTAACAACAACAAAGTTGTTAGGTGATTTCGTTGTTGTGTGAACATCACAGAGTGTGCTTACACAAACCTAGATGGTATAGCCTGCTACACACTGTAGTAGGCTGTATGGTCTAGCCTATTGCTCCTAGGCTACAACCAATACAGCACGTTACTGAACCGAATGCTGTAGGCAATTGGGACACAATGGTATTTGTACATCTAAACATAGAAAAGCTACAGTAAAAATACGGCATAAAAGATAAAAAATGGTATACCTGTATAGGGCACTTGCCATGAATGAAACTTGCAGGAATGGAATTTGCTCTGGTGAGTCAATGAGTGAGTGATGAGTGAATGTGAAAGCCTAGGACACTGCTATACACTTCTGTAGTCTTTATAAACACAGTACACTTAGGCTACACTGAATTTATAAAAAATAATTTGCTTTCTTCAATAATTAATTAACTTTGTCTTACTGTAACTTTTTTACTTTATAAACTTTTTAATATTTTTAACTTTTTGACTGGTGATAACACATAGCTTAAAACACAAACACATTGTATAACCGTACAAAAATATTTTCTTTCTTTATATCCTTATTCTGTAAGCTGTTTTTTAAAATTTTTATTTATTTATTTATTTTTAAAGATTGGCCCTGGGCTAAGGTCTGTTGCCAATCTTTTTTTTTTTCATCTTCTTCTCCCCAAAGCCTCTCAGTACATAGTTGGCTGTCCTATGTAGGACGCTGCCTCAGCATGGCCTGATGAGCGGTGCTAAGTCCGCGCCCAGGATCCGAATGGGCAAAACCCTTAGCCGCCAAAGTGGTGCACATGAACTTAACCACTTGCCCAGGGGCCGGCCCCCGTAAGCTGTGTTTTAAAAATTTTTAAAATTTTTTTACTTTTTAAACTTTTTTGTTAAAAACTAAGACACAAACATGCACATTAGCCAGGCCCACACAGGGTCAGGATCATCAGTATCACTGTCTTCCACCTCCACATCTTGTCCCACTGGAAAGTCTTCAGGGGCAACAACACACATGAAGTTATCATTTCCTACAGTAACAAAATGCTTTCTTTTGGAATATCTCCTGAAGGGCCTGCCTGAGGCTCTTCTTAAAGAGATGTCACTCTTTTCAGAAATATGTCCATGGTGATTTGCTTGATTTCTTTCTTTTTTTTAATCATAGTACTGATGTCTGAAATTTTCTTTTAAATGCATAAAAATTAGGATGGATTAGTGGATAGAAAGAGGCATGGACAGGCGGATTTGTATGCGATAAAATACATATAGTAAACTGTTACTTGTAGAATTTAGGTGGTACATATATAGGTGTTTAGAATATAATTCTACTAACTTTTCTGTGTATTTGGAAATTTTCATGAATAAATGTTGAGGAAAAAATTAGGTGCTGAGCCTGAGAGGATATCCTGTGCAAGTGAGGGGCCGTGAAGATTAAGTTTAATAGTTTCACAGTGAATCCACCTCTCCCTGTGGGTCTGCCAGAGTGTGAATAATTAATCTACAAGGGAGAATTGTCATTGTAACTCTTACAGTAAAGTGAACAAAGAATTTATTTTATTTTTTATTTTTTTTTGCTAAGGAAGATTTGCCCTGAGCTAACAGCTATGCCAGTCTTCCTCTATTTTGTATGTGGGTTGCCGCCACAGCATGGCCACCACTGAATGGTGTAGGTCCATGCCTGGGAACTACACCTGCTCTGCCACAGCGGAGAGAGCCAAACTTAACCACTAGGCCATGGGGCCGGCCCCAAGAACAAAGGATTTTAAAGATGAAAATAGTAGTACTTGATGGTAAACTCCAAAAAAGAATCATTTTAGGGGCCAGTCCAGTGGCTGAATGGTTGGGTTTGTGCCCTCCACTTTGGTGGCCCAGGGTTTCGCTGGTTCAGATCCTGGGCATGTGTAGCCGCCCCTGATGCAGGAAGGGTTAATAATCACTGGAAAAGGCTTGCCAGCAAACTGTGACCCAGAGGTGAGAATGCCGGTCAGCCAAAGATGGGTAAGACCCCCAGGGCGGGGCAACCTAAGACAGGCGTGGTCGCCTGGGGGCACAGATGGAGACACATATCGATATCGGGAGCAGGAGGGGCCGTTGCCTAAGAGACCTTGCCTGCTCCGAGATAAAAATATACGAGCACAGCAATAACATGATAATATCAAAACAGAGGCCAAGGGAGGGCTCCTTGAAAAATCACTAAGAATTCTTGGCATTCGCTAATTACTTCATCCAGAACACCTGTGTATGTTTAACAGATGTAAGCTATGTATATATTGAAATGCTGGTTATAATAAACTCAGAGTGGCCATCAGCCCTCTCCGCATCTATCCTGGTGTGTACATTGGATCACGACACCGACAGCATGGGCTTGGCACTGCTCATTGGGCCATGCTGGGGTGGCATCCCGTGTGGCGGAGCTGGAGGGACCTACAACTGGAGTGTGTAACTGCGTACTGGGGGCTTTTGGGGAAAGAGGAAAAAAAAAAGATTTGCAGCAGATGTTAGCTCAGGTCCAATCTTTAAAAAATAAGTAAATAAATAAAAAGAATCATTTTAAATGTTCCACCTGTCCATGTTTATTCATCTACATCTTTTTCTTTATAGAAAAACATGTTCTAGGTTTAAAAAAAGAAATCAAGAATAAGTAAAAGATAAAAAAGAATAGAAATCAGTCATAATTTTATTCCTCAGAGATGAATACTAGAAAATAAACCCCAAATGTGTTTTATTTATTGTTGTCTCCTCTGTGATTAGAACAACGCCCAGCACATTTGCTGTTGAATGATTTGGGATGAGTTGCAGAAAGAAGAAAAAAAAGCAACATGTAGAGATAAGTGTAAGTGTATCCTAGTAAAGCATACACGCCAAGCAAAGGTGTAAAAATTTGGAACACATGGGCCACATGCAGGAGACGAGGGATTTGAGTCTGGCAGAGATTAAAATCTGGGAGTTCCTAGATTAATATATTTTGTTTTTCCTATATGGCATTAAAAGAATTTTTGATGAGATCCCAACCTTTAAAAAATCTGAATTTCCAGCTTCTTTTGACAAAACGGAAAGCTCTGGAAACATTGGGATCCCATTCCTACATGATAAAAATAGGCTGGAGCTGAGTGGAGGCTGTCCTTAACAAAGCTCATGTGTTCCCTGAAGTCACCTCCAAGCTCAACTCACTCATTTAGATTCCCTCCTAGACCCTAAAGGCAGTAGAGTTTTCAATCTCTGGTAGGAGAACTCTGGGACTTGATATTGGAAGTCAGGTTGGGGTCAGAGATACAAGGCCATGGCTATCCAAATGGGCAGTTTGTACTTAGTTCAGTGGGCAAGAGGAAGGATTGGACAGCATTCTCTCAGTTACTATTATTGTGTAACAAACCACCCCAAAATTTAGTGGCTTAAGACAACAATAATTTCTTTGGTTCATGATTTTGTGAACGGGCAGTTTTGGTTGGCTCAGCTGTATGGTTCTTCTGGCCTTGACTGGGCTCACACATGTGGCTGGGTCACCTGTTGGGATACCAGGGCTAGTATGACCTCAGCTGGGGCAGGTTGCTCCATGAGGTCTCTCATCCTCCAGCACACTAGCCCAGCTTGTTCATGGCTGGGTAAGGTTCCCAGAGAGGGAGTGGGAGTTTGTAAGGCCTCTTGAAACCCAGGCTTAGAACTGGCACACCATCACTTCTTCTACATTCTATTGGCCAAAGCAAGTCACGATGCTAGCCCAGATTCAAATGGTGGGGAGGAAGACTCCACTTCTTGACAGGAGGAGCTACAAAGTCACATTGCCAAGAGATGTGAATACAGAGAGAGAGGACATTTTTGCAAAGAGTCTGTCATAGTTACCACTGGAGGGGTATTTTTGACAATATCATTTGGAGTGGGATATGCTCAGTATGACTGGAATTGTGTTCTATTTGTAACAGAAAAGTGCTGCCAATCTGTACCAATAAATAACTTCATGAAAGGATTTGAGAGAGACAGATGCCCAGCTTGTGCCTCTTCCAGCTTCTTGTCCAGGGACTCCTGAGTTTCAGTTTGAATACACAGCTTGGTGAAAGTCAGACAGTTTCTCCAAGATTTCTGTAAATAAGTGAACAGAAAGTGAGACAACAGCAGGGAGCTGACAGCTATGATAGAAACATAAAGATGTTTCTATTCTTCACAATAGTATAGAAACTGCATTCCCCCGGGTCTGGCTGGGGCCTAAACCACCATCTGCATTCATGCCTTTATGATATGAAGTTCTCTCTTACTTGGTCAACTTTTAAATACAAATAGCTTGTGGGAAGGATAAACTCACACATTAGTGTGAATTAGTCTCGGGTATTAGATTCTCTAATACCAGGAGGACCCTGGGTTGTAAGAGAGCCTGGAAGAGGGAGGAAGAAGACATGGGAGAGTTTGAAGGAGAGGAAGGTACTACACAAAACATTGTCGGCTTCTCTTCCACCCTGAAGGCTAATTCTTCAGGAAGCACCATTGAGTCTGTTCTTCTGCTCTGTGGTGGCAAAGAGAAAGTTTCAGATAGAAGCTAGGCCACAATTTTGATTTTTCACTCCAAAAGGTAGGCATGGTAGTGAAGGGAGAGGAAGGGTGAGGGATGAGATACCCTCTCATGTGTCTGTTAGAGTGATTCCCAATGGACCACCTATGAGACAGCCTTAAAGAACAGTCCTCATGCCACAGACGTCTGTAAATACTGATGATGTCCTTGGGGAACTGCCTTAAAAGGTTGGACACCTGTCTCCTTAGTTTGTGTCTCAAGGCATTTTATCTTCAATAATGAGTGTGCTCCACCCCCTTGTCTATAACTCAAAATACTCTCTCATGAGTGCCCCAGGATATATGCATAAGACTATTTAAAGGGGCATGGTTCCTGAGAACAAAGTACTGGAACAACTAAAATATCCACCAATAGTGGAATGGGTAAGTGAGGTGCATGGTTATCTAATGGTCCACTATAAGCAGTGAAAATGAATGAGTTGAAACCATCACATTAGCATGGATGAATTTCAAATCATGATGTTGAGCAAGTTATTGTAGAATATAGTATATCATTTTTGTTCTTGTACATGAGAAACCAAATAATATAGTGTACCTAGTTGTAAAACTAGAAATAAATTTTTACCACAAAAGTTAGAACAGTGGTTACACCTGGAGGAGGGGGGAGGAATGTGAAAAGCAGGGAGTCACAGGATGTTGAAAAAAGAAAAGAAGGAAGGAAGAGACAGGAAGGGAAGGAGGAAGGAAAGAGAGGGAGAAAGAATATAGGTTAGAGAAGTAATCTGCCTTCTCAATACACTTTAGACTAAACCACACCCTTAGAGCGGGGTTTCTGGAGTTCTGTAGCATTGATACGTGGGCTGGATAATTCTTTGTTGTAGGGTGCTGTCCTGTGCATTGCAGGATGTTGAGAAGCATCTATTCACTAGATGCCAGTAGCGCACTCCACCCCACCCCACCTCTCCCGAGTCTCCCAAAATGTCTTTAGACATTGCCAAATGTCCCCTGAGGGGCAAAACCACCCCGGTTGTGAAGTACAAAGGAAATCTTTCACATGTGTGGCTCATGCTCTTTAGACCAGAAAGGTCTACCTTTAACAGAGGGTCGCCTGGAGGGCTCATATGACCGGCAGTCATCAATAATCTCCTGCAACTGTGAAGGGCAGTCTTCACCCAGAGGCTCCTGGTACCGGTCCATAACCACCCGCTGGTAGATCTGCTTGGAATCAAAGCCTAGCATAGGAACAATAGGATGGGAGGCTTAAAAATTTGATCTGGCACACATCTCTCTGGATGCTGATGGCTGGCATCAGAACTAGAGACTCTGAGTATTGAAGAAACAAGAGCTTCCAATGACCCATTGACCAGCCCAGGCAGTGCCCACATTGGAGTACAACGCTCCCAGGACAGCATTGATGGGAATTTCTAGTCTATCGGAAGGAGACCCAATCCCAGCATCATCTGAGCCAGGCTTCACACTGGTTACCTTCAAAAGGGACCTTCCCAGTGGCAATTTCCCAGAGGACGATTCCAAAGCTAAAAGAAAACCAAGAAACTGAATAACCATAATGTTTCTCTTTTCCTATGCACCTCTAGGCATTTCCAGAAAATTCAGTGAATTTTCTGATTACCACCCGATCCCACTCAACAGAGTTGAGTTACAATGGTCCTCAAAGGTGGGGTTTGCCCTGGGCTTTCCCGTCTTGTTCATCTGAGTTAGAATCTGCACAAGAACATGAACACACCTGTATATTTCAGCTTTTATGTCATATTTACGATACACATTTTCCAGTCTCTCAGGTGAGATGTATGCTGCAGAAATGACTCTCTCTGCTTCTTTTCCCTTAGTTCCTCGACTGATGGAAGTCTGTGTTTTGCTCAACTCAAATCCTGCAAGCTAGATAGAGAGGTGACTTAGAGACAAAAAGAAACAGCACGATCTTGGGAGTGGAGTAGAGGGCAGGGAGTTGGTGCTACACACAATCGTCAGCGGATGGTCTTTTGCCTCTGGGATTTATTTCCAGTGCTGTCCTCTGCCTGTGTGGCTACTCCAGCACTGGCATTATGGGTTCAACTTACAGCACATCGACCAAGAGATACACAAAGAAGTGTCTTCTATATAAGATGGGACAATGAAGGTTACTTGAGATAATGGCTGTAAAGCACCTGTAAGACTTGGTGAGCTGTAGTTGTTCTGGTATTACTACGTTAGATACAGGGCTTTCTCACCTGAAGACTCAACTTCCTTATGTCACCACGTGACTTTCTTTCTCTCAGAGCAGATGAAAAAATGACTTGGGAGCATCTCCTCTCTTCTTTCTGATCATATAGAGTGGCCAGCCTGTTCCTTTGGATTTAATATAACTGTAAGTTACCCCACCAACCCTGCATGTCCAACGCCATGTTCTTTGAAGCCACAGCATAGTTAATGGCAGTGTATATTCTCCTTGCTCCCGGCACACCTGTCATTAGCACCATCAGTGTGCAAAGGGCTGCCAGCCCCAAACTCAGCCAGATACCCAAATCTGGGGGCAAAGTCAGGAAAAGGATTAGACATTTAGATGGCTCATCCCCCTTTCATTCACAAGTTCACTGAGCACTGACATCCTCTGACATCTGGCACCATGTTAGATACCAGGGATGAAAGGCTGAATAACACATGTTACGGTTAGGTGGGATGAGCACCATGAGTGTGGTGTAGACATGGTGCTTTGGGAGCACTTAAATCATATCAGTGAGGGGGAAAGGGATCCGAAAGGCGGAAAAGGCCTGTCTTCTGTTATTTGAAAGCTGTTCCTGATGCTCATAAGGCTGGAAAAAAGAAAGCCATCAATGGATGACAAAGAAAATATTCTTTTAGCATTTGGGAATTGTGGACATTGAATTAACAAAACATTTCCCTCTTCCATTTGAGAATCTGACTTTCAGTTAACTTTTTGGTTCCATTCCCCTGGGAACCTGATAAAGGCACACTGTCACCTATGCTCCTACGTAATATTGCTGATGATAAAAAATGACTGTTGATTGGTAAATTGCTTATAGGTGGGGGGTCAGGAGGAACGGGGACTATAAAGAGCTGATGGGGATGCTGGGCTTTGTGGTGACTCATAACTAGCATGCCCCTTGTGGGGACACGTGAAGGTGTGCCCAGAGTCGTTATAAGAGAATATTGACTTCTGTAGGTCATGAGGCTTCTACCCTGGACGGCCTGCACACCCCTGAGGGGAGCCTCTTTCTCTAGCACCTGGGGCAAAAGCAAAATAAATATCTCCTGGATGACTGTGGGGACAGCTGTGGGGACTACCACTGGAGAGAAGGATTTGATGCTGCCCTGCTGGCAAGCTGTGTTTCCTGCCTGATACCCTTCTAGGTGACTCCCAATATCAGTGAGACCTATGGCAGTCCTGTGAGTCCGAATGCTTAGTTGGACCTAAGAAGATCCCTTGGTGGGTGTTGGAGGGATGTAGAGGTGGTGTCCAAGCACCTCAAGGGAAATGGCTCTTAGCCTATTCCTGCTAAGCAGGCAGTGAGGGAAGACAAGCATCAGAACAGCAGACAGGATTGAGTCTGTCCTGCGGTGGGCACACAGAAAGGTGTCCAGCCAGTGGAGGAGTTGAGCTCAGTTCTAAGGTTAAGGCAGAGAAACAAGCAGGCACAGCACTTCTAGGAAACGTGTCCCTCTCCCACCACCAGTCACACAGGCCAAATCCAAAGAACCCCCTGGAAGGCTGCACTCACCTTCACTTTGTAGCCATCAGTTACCAGGAAGCTTGTGCTGCTGATGTTTCTGTGGAGTTCTGGAGATGCTTCCGAATGGTGCAACCTGACATGACCAAAGGCAAGGAGAATTAGTAACCTTTGCACAGACTTTCTTGGGGGCTTGACAGTCATTACTGGGATAATGAGGCTGGTCAGTATCACGCCTTCTTCATGGGTAGCTATCCATGGATAGGTGGGGAAACCAGGATGCAGAAGTGAGATTTGACAGTTGTGTACTGTGAGTGTAGAGCAGAGCTAAGATGGAACCCCAAGTGTCCATTGGACAAGTGGGTGTGACAGTCCTTGGGGAGCGTGTATGATCTGGTACTAGAGGTCACGTTAGGTGGAGAAAGATGAAGGTGCCTCTCTGGTTCTCTGCCTAGGGAGTGATGGGCAGATCAAAGTGCCCAGAGGCATGGCTGGATGGTTGGACCATGCCTAGGATGCTTCTGGTTGAAACAGGATGTGAAGCTGGGATTTCCTCCAACTTAGTAAGTGGTAAGTGCTTTGGATTGATGGAGCCCCTGCATCCCAACTTGGTCATTATCATAGTAACTGCCTTAGGTTGAGTTCTCCCAGCAGCAGATCATGAGCCAAGGATTTGGGTACAAAGTGATTTATTAAGAAGGTATTGCTAGGCAAAACTGGCAAGAGAGTGGAGGAAGCAGTATAGAGAAGAAGAAGGAATAAAGCGAAAGTGTGATTTCACTTGAAGTTCCAGCCTCAGCATGATCCCATGGGGCTCTCTGGAGGATAATTACCCTTCAAGGTTTGTTCCGCATGAAGCAAAGAATCTGGACTTTTGTACTCACACCTGTTGTTCAATGGCGATGGACTGGGAGCAAGGGGGATTGAGACAGGAACGGTGGAGATAAAACTCATGGGCACTTTCAGCTATCTATAAGGGCAAAGAGGCTCCAGCGCCCACGGATAGTCCTCTGTAGATGGCAGCCGTGAGGTGTCAGCAGCAAAGCATGCCGAGTGGGGGATGAATATGCAGAGCCGGCGAAGAGGCCGTCTGGATGGGGCACTGACAGTATTCCCTACAGTCCAAAATTACTTCTTATAAAACTCACTAGTGTAGGGAGGCCAGAAGAAATAAACTTTATGATTTCAAAGAAATAGCTAGGCAGGGTCTCCAAAATTACGGGATAAGTGGTATGCAAGATGACATCGTGACAAAATTATTCTCTCTTCAATTTATTCCAGTCTTTCTGATCCTATCAAGGAGAAAGTCTTGGTTGGTGTCAGGTGTCTTTAACATCTCTCTAAATCTGTTAATATCTCCTTTGTACAAAGAAAACGTGGGTCTGAATTATGGACCTTTGGCAGGCAGCATGATTCAGCCAGAATTTCATAACGTTGTTTTGGTTTCATTTGTGGTCACCTTTTTGTGGCAAGTGATTCTAGTTTCCAATTTATGGTAATAATAGAAAGTATCCTTTTCTTATACTTATTTAGCTTCTTAAAAAGTGAGCTATTTTAAGGAAACATATGAAGTAAATAATACTAGCAGGATTGTGGATATGGTAGAAACTATGGAAGTGGTCTGTGAGTGACTGACCTTTGGGGATCCTTGGGCTAAAGGAAGCACAGACTATATGAGAGTAGGTAGAGTTGACAGATAAAATACAGGACATCCAGTTGATTTTGAATTTTGGATAATCAATGGATTTTTTTAGTATAAATATGTCCCAAAATTCCATGGGACATACATCTCCTAAAAAATTATTTATTAATTATCTGAAATTCTATATATCTGAAATTTTAGTAAAAGTATGTCTTATGTAATATTTGGGACATATTTATACTAAAAAATTATTCATTGCTTATCTGAAATTCAAATTTAACTGGGCATCTTTTTTTTTTTGTTTGCTGAGGAAGATTTGCCCTGAGCTAACATCTGTTGCCAATTTTCCTCTTTTTGTATGTGAGCCACTACCACAGCATGGCCACTGACAGACGAGTGGTGTAGGTCAATGCCCAGGAACTGAACCTGAGCGGCCGAAGAGGAGCATGCCTAACTTACCATCTAAGCCACTGGGGCTGGCCCTAACTGAGCATCTTGATGTTTTGTTTTATTTTGCTTTTTTTTTTTTTTTTTTTTTTGCTGAGGAAGATTCACCCTGAGCTAACATCTATAGTCAATCTTCCTCTTTTTTTGCTTGAGGAAGACTACCCCTGAGCTAACATCTGTGCCAATCCTCCTCTACTTTATATGTGGGTCGCCACCACAACATGGCTGATGAGTGGTATAGGTCTGCACCCAGCATCCGAACCCATGAACCCAGGCCGCTGGAGCAGAGCACACAGAACTTAATCACTATGCTGTGGGCCAGCCCTAGGATTTTGTATTTTTATTTGCTAAATCTGGCAACCTTAAGAGTAAGATCTGTCCAGCTCCATAAGAGCAGCCTGGACAATAAATTCCACCCTCAATTCTGTGAGCTGGTGCTCACTGGGCAAAGCCTCCTTTTCCCTCCTGTCTAAGGTGTTCTAATCAGAGTAAGTAGAAAACAGCTTATGGAAGGCGAGACTCGTGGGGCTTCCAGCCTGTTCTCTCATCACATCTGGGATTATCAGCAGGGGAGACAGACTCATTCCGTTCTTCTCGGTGCCCTTTCACCCCCTCTGGTACCTGTACAAGCCTTTGGCTGCCTGCAGGACCAGGACGATGCGCAGAGCAAATATGATGTCCTTGTCCTTGTCCAGCAGTTCTCGCAGGGTCCCGAGCTCACAGTACTCCATGACGATGGAGAATTGAGGTGGGGTCACTGATGGAAAGGAGCCAAACACTATGAGGATCCTGCTCCACTCAGAGCTCTCACTTTCTGCAGCCCACCTCCCCCTCTCTCTACAGAGACAGACTCAGCTCTGCTGCGAGTCTCATTTCTCCCCCACCCTCTATCCCCATCTCACACAGTTTGCTCCCCGACCTCCTTGAATGGGTCAAATACCTGCAGAGTTCCCATACCTCTTCTTCGTGGTATAGGGTATGTCATAATTCTACATTTGGCTTAGCTACTTGAGTAATGTCCCCCCCACTCAACTGTAAGCCCCAAGAGTACAGAGTCTGTTTTATTCATACAGTGCTCACAAGGAGCTGAGTAAATATGTGTGGAAGGAAGGAATGATGCACAGACTTCAGGGGCTGGTGAGGTGAGGGAAACTCAGACAAGAAGCCGAGGTCTCAAGTCATGGGCCTGAGATGCAGGAACCAACACACACAGTGTCAGTCACTCAGTCGTCACCCAGGAGAATAAACGTCACTGGAAGTTTTCGTTCAGGCTGGAATTCTAAGCCCCAAAATCAGGTCACCTGAGGCTGTGGAGAAACTTCCAGAGGGGATAAAATGGGGGTTGCTCTGTCCTTTCTGTAGGCAAGAGCAGCAAAACAGAACCAGCAGGAGAAGCCATGCCGTGAGGGAAAACGCGGCCACATTAAAAAATAAAAATTAAAAAGAAGCTGACACATCAGGTTCTTGGCAAAGAGGCGGTTAATTTAGTTTTTAGGCTTAATCTACACCGATGACGATCAAGGTTAGATTCCTTGTTTAGGTCAGTCAGCCTTATATTTGATAGCAACGAAATGCACCCATCACCTAGGGCAACATCTGAACAAGTGCCCTCTCAGTTCCCAGTGGGCTGGTAGGAGACATGGCCACATCAGTGCAAACCAGCCCTCTGGCTGAAGCCAGCTTCAAGCCCTCTTCTCAAGAAAGAAGATGGGAACTTGCATCCTGGGAGTGGAAACAAATTAATGTTGATAGTAATACCACTGTGTAGATTTTGCCCCTTTGACTGTTCTTTAAAAATGCAACACATTATAGCACAGAAGATATATGACAGACCACCAAGAGCATGACCTATCCCAGAAGCACCCTTACCTGTTTCATCAATGCAAATCCCAAATATACGCAGGATGTTGGGAGAATCAAATTTCTTCATGGTTCTGATCTCATTATTGAAAGTATGCCTCACTATTCTATGAGGATAAAAGGGGAAATTAAGATTTCAGGACTGGAAGGTCCCCCAGAGAACATCTGGTGTAGTGATTGTCTGTGTATGTGTGGGGCGGGAGGGACTGTCAGCATCTCCTGGGGTGAGAACTGGTGCTGGGATGAGCTTGGTCACTGATGGCAGCATATGGAACCCCTTAGATGTATTTGGCAGCAGAATTAGCATGTACGATACATGCTACAACACAGATTTACCTTAAAAATGTCATGCTAAGTGAAAGAAGCCAGACACAAAAGTCCACATATTGTATTATTCCATTTGTGTGAAATGTCCAGAATAGGCAAATCTATAGAAACAGAAAGTACATTAGCAGTTGCCTAGGGCTAGAGTTGGTGGGTGGGAGTGAATGGGAGGTGACTGCTAATGGGCATAGAGCTTCTTTTGGGGATGATGAAAATGTTCTAAAATTATATTGTGGTGATCATTGCACAACGCTATAAATATATTAAAAGCCATTAAATTGTACACTTTAAATGAGTGAATCTTATGGTATGTAAATGATATCTCAATAAAGCTGTTAAATATAATCTCAGTCAAAATCTCAATGTGTATTTTGAAGAATGTGATAAACTTTCTCTGATACTCACTTAGCTAAGTCACCCTGAGAAAGAAGAGTCAAGAAGAAGGAGATGCCTTACTAGATATTGAGAATTACTACAAAGTCATAATAAAAACAAAACAAAACAAAACACAGTGTGTTAATGGTACAAAGACAGGCAAGTTGACCAGTGGAACAGGTGAGAGAGATCAGAGCCCCATCCATGTCTAAATAGAAACTTCACATACAATAAATGGGGCACCAAAAATCAACAGGGAAGGACATTTAATAGATGGTGTAGAGAAAATGGACTCACCATGTGGACAAAAATAAAACTAGGCCCTATATAACATCACATACAAAGGTGGATTCCTGCAAGCTTAAAGCCTAAATGTGAAAAATAAAACTGTAAAATTAATAGAAGAAAATCTGGAATAACTTTGCCACCTAGGGTTGGGGAAGGGCTCCTCAAGAGCACAAATTTTGGTGGATTTGATTACAACAAAATTTAAGAGGTCTGTTTGATGATGGACACCATGGACAAAATTAAAATGTAGATAACGTGATGAGAGACGACCTTTGGAATACTTAAAACTGACAAGTGATTAATTTCCACAATACATAGGATCTTCTACAAACTGACAAGACAACAACAGCAACTGTGACAGAAAAAAGGGCAGAGGATATGAACAGGCACTATATAGAAGTGGAAACCCAAATAGCTAAGTCATAAGAAAAAAAATGTTCGAATTCATTAGTAAACAGAGAAATGCAAATTATAATAAGTATAAGATATTACTTTATAACTATAAGGATGAAAAAAATTAGAAAGCTGGATAATACCAAGGGTTGGTGGAGACATGCAACTACAGAGCTTTCAGTCATTGCTGGTGGGAGAGTAGGTGTATTCAATCCATTGTGAAGAATTATCAGGTAGAACTTAGTCAATTTCATATACGCAAATCCTATGATCCATCAGTTCCTCTCCTGGCAATATAGCCCAAAGAAATTCCCACACAGGTCCATAAAGGCATATATCATATTATTTTTGGTGGCGAAAAGTTGGAAACAGATTGGGTTCCATAACTGGAAAAATAGCTAAAATGTGGGTCTACACCACGGACAGCAATCAGAAGGAAAGGACTACAAGTCCATGATGCTGAGTGCAAAAAGTAAGAAAAGCAGGAAACAGACATACAACGCTACCATTTGTGAAAAATGAAAATGTATGCACATGTAATGACAACACACATTTTGCAAGAACACATACAAGCAAAACACTTTATTGTCTGTGGTGGGAGGATGGGGAACTGAGAAACATGAATGAAAGAGAAAAGATTTTTAAAAATACATGAATAAAAGACAGAAGTTTCTAGTATTGAGGTGAGAAGACATGCAATTAAGCGTAGGCTCTGCTCCTTAATAGTGGAAGGCAAGTCATTTAACCCTTTGGGGCTGGGCTTTCCCCACCTAAAAATGGAGACAATGTCCCTCTCTCCTTGGGAAGTTATAGGGAGGAAGTGGAATGATGCATGAGACAACTATACAAAAGGACTTACCCAATGCTTCTGGCCTGTGATTTGCTGAATACTTTTATGGCCACTGGAGATTTGTGGTATTCTCCTTTATAAAGTGTGCTGAATTCACCTTTCGTTAGTGGGATCCCATCCCATCCTGAAAGCTCCTCTTTCTTAATCTCCTTGATTTGATCTTGTGGGATCTCCTTCATGGGTTTCTGTAAGTCTGACCTCAGCCAGGGAGAAAAGGAAATAGAGTCAATGAGCTGAGGAAGGTGTCCTAAGGGAAAGAGGCATCTTTGGAACACGTGAGTGGGAAGCCCTTACACCATAAACCAAAGCTGGCACTGGCTGGAGTGTCCGATTGATGCATCTAGGGGAGAGGTGCCAATGCCTCTGAGTGACTGGTAAAGACACAGCTGGATGGTTAACAGAAATGTGTCCTTTCTCTCCTCTTCAAATCCTGCCTGTCTCTCCAGCCTAAATCTCCATTTCTACCCGTCTCTTTCACTTGGCACTTGAGCATTTAGCATCTTGTCTAGTCATTTCAGTTCTAATACTTAGATACATAGTTCAGGCTCAGTAACTCCACTACTGTTATGTGTTCACATGTCTCTCTTCCCTCTCCCTTCCTCCACCCCATGGCTGTGAGCTCCTGGAAGGCAGGGTCCTTCTCTGCATCTTAGTTTCCTCTATGTACAGGTTCTGTCATAAAGCAGATACTCTCAGTTTTGTTGAATGAATGAATGAGCATTTAAAATTTGATATGAATTTCTTCTTACAAATTCAGCAAAAGGATTGAAGGTGTGATGCTATCTAAAGGAAGTTTTCAGCACTTTGACAGGTGCTAGAAGATATCTTGCTGGTCAAGAAGCTCCCTTCAAATGCTGCTCTATGGACAAAAGCCTGGGCTAGCCACGAGCACATCCCAAAACCTGTTAGCTGCTTCCAGCCATCCAGCCCAGAAAACAGACAAGGATGGGGGTAGGGGCAGGCCGGAGTTCCTAGTAAACAAATGACTTCTAGTTTGGGGACAGTCAGAGGTAGCAGGGCACATGATAACTCACATTGCCTCACGATTCTCCTGGTTTCTTCTATGCTGATTTCCAATTTTCTCAATGAAGCTTCTACAATTTCATCTCCTGCAGGAAAAAGAGTAGCAAATACTCAAAAATAGAAATGCTAATTAAAAGCACACAGAGATACTGTTTTTTCACCTGTCAAATTCATTGTGGTAGGAATTATTACTGCTCAAAAATATTTATCTTTCTACTTCTAAGCACACAGGAAGTGCCTTGAAGCCTGGCCGTGTGACTTGCTTTGGCCAAAAAATGAAGTGAAAGAGATGTCAGGGAAGTTCGTGTCAACAAAAAAGTGCCAAAATATTGAAATATACTGGAAGGAAGACAGTGACATTGGAGAGTCTCCTGGACTTTGCCTGAATGAGAAATAAGCTTTTGTTTCCTTAAGACATTGAAGTTTTGATAGTTTTTTTTTAACCACAGCATAATCTAACCTATCCTGATTTATATACTCAGAAATATGTTTAAAAATTGATAACATACTATATAGAGTGGCCAACCATCCTGGTTTTCCCAGGACTGAGGAGTTCTGTGGACATGAGACCTTCAGTGCTAAAACCAGGAAAGCCTCTAATGGAAAAAAGTATGGAGAAACAGACACTCTCTATACATTGTTGGTAGGAGTGAAATTTGTGTAACCTCTGTGGAGGGTAATCTGGCAACCTCTATCCAAATTGAAAATGCTCATACTCTTTGATCCAGCAATTAGACCCAGTAATTCCACTTCTGGGAATTTTCCTAAAGATATCCTCAAATATATACAAAGATCTCATTGCAGGATTATTTACAATAGTTAAAAATTGGACACAAATGCCCATCACTAGGGAGCTGCTTAAATATATCTGGTCCATGTACACGAAGAAATACTAGACAACTCTATGGATATTTACACAGAAGAATATTCAAGATTATTTAATGAAAAAAGCAAGAAGCAGAACAGTGTGTCAGTATGTGGCCGATTGTGTAACAACAACAAAATACATACACTTGATGTCAAGGTGAGTCAATATACCTTGATGTCAAGGGTGAGTGGGAGACTTTCTTCTCATGCTGGGCCTTTTTTGTACCTTTTGAATTTTGTACCATGGGAATGTATTACGTAACAGAAATGTTTTTACAAAATTTAAAAGCGAGAACAGGAAGTAAATCCTTTCCTCTAAGTTGATGACACCAATATGCCTCCCACCTCCACCAGGAAATGGACCGATGAGTACAGAAGATTAGGAAGGTCAGGGACCAATCCTGCTCTTCAGCTGGGTCAGCCTCTACCCCGCCCCAACTTCCCTCTAACCCAGTCTCTGACTCTCTTTCTCCTTGGCAGCAGCTGTTTGTTTGGGGGATTACAAATGCTTCACTTTCTGTTATCCAGAAAAAGATGCATTTTTTCTTCAGGTCTCCCCAGACCTGATTTGTCCTGCTGGAGTCTCTCCTGCTGATATGACTTGGGATGGACTGCCCTCCCCATCCAGGTGGCAGAACAGTTCTTCCTCTGGGCTCTGGTGCCCAGAAGATTCATCCAAATGTCCTTTACCCTCTCCTCCTTCCTCTTTCTCCACCCATAATCCTTACAAGAGGGAAGGATTTGGAATTCATATCACCAGGATCTGTAAAAGCGTAAAGAGACCACATTTGTTTCCATTCTTCCGCCCTCTTCCTTCTTCTGCTGGCCATGGCTCCACTGTCATCCCCCACTCGAACCTAGCCCACATCTCATCCCCTTAGAAACTTGTCCTCCACTAAGTCAAACTAGGGCCATTCTAGTTTAAGCCATGGTCATCTCTTACATGGGCTCTATAGTGGTCTCCTAACTGGGCTCAACTCCCACTCTTGGTCCGCAGGGGTATGTTGAATTATTAGTCCGAGTTCTTCACTCCCAATGTAGGAGGAGGAACATACATCCACACCCTGGCCATAGCCTCATAACAGGCACTTTGTACTTCCTGTCCCTTCATGTTGGCTTTGGCCATGTGACTTGCTTTGGATGGTAGTGGACGTGATACAAGTAGAAGTTTCAAATGTCCTGGCACAGTTGGGCTTGCCTTGTTGCAATTCTGCCACAAGAACATTCTCTGGGTACTCACTGCTTCTTCAGCCTTGGCTCCAGAGTGGGACACATGGATAGACCCAAATTGGACCTGGTGCCTGGAGTCAAGCCCAGACAAGCCCACATGAGATGAGGAGAACCTCAATAGATCCACAGATTCGTGAGAATGAGAATTAATAACCATTGTTTTAAGCCTCTGAGTTTGGTATGGTTTGTTGTGCAGCATCAGTGCAGCAATAATTGACTAATACACATCAGTACGGTCCATTTGCCACATGACAGCCTGAGTGATTTTCTTTTAATACAAGTCAAATCATGACAGGCCCAAGTTTAAGGACCTTCCTTCAGTGGCTACCTATGACTCTTAGAATAAAATCTAAAATTCTTATCATGCCTACACAGCCCTGCATGACCTTGCTCCTTTATCTTTTGGCCTACGGTTCCCCACTTTCATCTGACTCCACTCTCTCCCTTGCCAACCACACTGAAGTTATCCTGGCCCTCTGGCTGTTCTTTGTACATACCAACTTATTCCCACCTCGGGGTCTTCACACTCACCATTGTCTCCGCCTGGAGTGCACCTCTCCTTCATCTTCACATGGCTTGCTCCTTCTCATTATTCAAGGTGTTCATTCAAATGTCACCCCATCAGAGAGGCTTTCCCTGACCACTCTCTCTGCACCCACTGTCCATTTCCACCTCCCCACCCCACTTACGACTTTCATTGCCTTTCAATAAAACAATTTACTTAGCCCTCTATCTGCAGACTTCATGTTCCATGAGGGCAGAGATCTCATCTATTTTGCTCTGTGTGTATCCTCAACACTTAGAACAGTGTCTGGCACACAGGAGATTCTCAATTTGTGTTTGCTTAGTTAATTAGTTAATTCTTCCTCCTGGATAATTTACATATTAACTGAAGATCCTGGATAAACTAAGGCTGGAAGGAATTAGCTTCTGGAATTTCAGGTATCACATCAAAAAGAGAACGGAAAGGCAAAGAAGAGGCATCAGTATTATCTCCCCTCCCTTTTGCCCGTTGGCTTGCCCAAATTTCACCGGCCCCCACCATATCCAGGCCCAGGGACGTTAGGAGTTCCGAGTCATATAAATAGACATCTACTCAAATGTCTTCAGCCTTCCTGCTCCTTTGGTAAATCAAAATGAAATTAATATGCCCCCATTTGCACTCCCTTTCCCCCACCCCCCACCAAAACCTTACCACTTTCCAGCTTTTGGAAGACTTTCCTGTCTTCCTCTGCATCCTGCTGATCTTCCTGTTGCCAGGACGCTTTTTGTCTGATGCTTGAAAGAAGGATCCGTTGATCCACCTGAAGTTGCAGTGAGAACTCTTCCCAGACATCTCTCAGCCTTTCATTCACTTCACTGAAGAGTATTTTCTCATGCCCTGCTGTTAGAAACTTCAAGATACTGGGTTTATTGCTGAACTCATGTATCCGCCCCTGGGCTTCCTGGAGGACAGCATGGAAACGGTCCAGGGCATTGATTATCTTATCAGGCAGGCTCCTCCCTCCTTCGGTCTGGAGCATTTGCAGAGGCTGCAGCAGGCCATTGACACGTTGCCCTAGACGCTGGCACTGTTTCTGGCAGTATTTCATCTCGTTACACTGTTTGTAGATAATCTGGCCCAAGGAGGTGATCTGCCCCAGTTTATCCATACCTAGAAGAAACTGATGGAACTTGTTTAAGTCCCAGGATCTCCTGCATATTTACTACTGGGCTAAAAGAACATCAAGGATGTCTGTGATTTAAATGGCTGAAGAGGTCTCCCCACTATTTTCATGTAAGGTAGAGACAGCCTGATGTCCACTGAAATCTATTCTGTCCTTCCACAGTAACAGAGTTAAAGCCAGGAAGTGTGGGCCCAGCTATATCTCCCAGCCTTTCTTGTGACTTGATGTGGCCATGTGACTAGTCCTCACCAATGTGGTATGAGTGGATATGATATATGCTACTTTGGGCTGAGGCAGGTTTGTCTCCTTTACGCACTGTCACCTGGATGCTAGGATGATGCAGCCCTAGGTGTGGTATAGCCCCAAGAAGGAAAGCAGAGTCCCAAGAAGGAAGAATCCTGGATCCCTGAATCATTGCTTGGAGGAGATTGGCTCACAGGCCTGGAATGTCTGCCATGGACTGTTAAGTGAGCAGGGAATAAATTTCTATTGCATTTGAGCCATTATATTTTGGGGCCGATTTGTTACATCAGTTGAGCCTGTCCTAACAAATGCATCCTGTCAAAGGATATGGATGGCAACAGGATGGTGGGTTGGAAAGCTCAAGCCCTGTCTAAAGTAGGCAAATGTTACTCAGCAAGTCACCAACTGATGCTCTTCAAGGATAAAGGGCCCAGTGGTGGAAGATCTCCCAGCTTTCAAAGAGCAGTCATAATCTGGATTTTTGTGTTCAATCTCCCAATTTAAAATCCTGCGGCTAAGTCGAAAAATGTTTTAAAACCTACGCAGTCCAACACTGTGTAGGTCAAATAAAACATGTTTGCCAACTGGATATTGCCCATGAAGCCCCAATTTGCAACCTTGCCCACAGTTGGCCAAGGATATTCAGGATAATAATAGAAGTTGGATTCTGTCAATCTCAAATATACCTTTCTGTCTCTTTTCCCAATGCTCGAGCATCCCTGCCTCCCTAGTCCTCACCCCAAGCCCTCTCTACCCCATTTTTAGCAAGCTGCGAATTGGTTCCAGCCTCCTCATTGGCCTAAAATCAATAAGACCTCATGTTGCAAGTGCTGCCCCCCCAAGAGGTATTTGCACTAAAGATTCTAAGGTTTTCCAGGCTCAGAGAAATTGTGGTGGACATTTGTGTTTCCCCACACAGCATCCATTTCTCTACTTCCTATTACTGACCAGGTTTTCAGTAGCTATCTGCTCCTTCCCCATTCAGCAATGAGTTTGCAGGGAATGGTCCCACCCCTGGTTCCAGGGGTGAGACATCATGTGTCTAAGCCAGGGGTTTTCCATCGAAGGTGACTTTGCCCCTCTTGGGACTTTTGGCAATGTCTGGAGACATTTCTGGTTGCCACAGATGGGGAACGGGTGCTACTGACATCTAGCGGGCAGAGGTCAGGGTGCTACAAGGCATAGGACAGCCCCCTCTCGCCCCCCCCACCCCCGCCAACAAAGAATTATCCAGCACAAAATGTCAACAGGGCAGGTTCAGAAACTTCAATCTAAGCCATCAGACAATTCCTAATAGCCTATCACAGTGATTAGTTCAAAACTGGGCACCTGGGCCAATTTGAGCGGAGAAGACTATTTGCTGGGGAGCTTCCCTAAGACAGCCTGGGAAGCCAGCTTCTAACTCTTAACCTCTCTTTCTCTTCTCTGAATATGAGAGAGAAAGCATGAAGCCTGGATCCTAAAGCCTTGGAACGAAGCTAACCTATGGATGGCAGGATGGAAAGAAAAGAAAAATCTGAGTCTTTGATGACAACATTGAGCCACTGGTTTGAACTGACCCTGAAGTCTACCTCATTCCTCAATTACAGGTTTCACGAACCAATAACCTTGCTTATTGTTTAAGCCAGTTTGAATCATGTTTGTTATACTTGCAACTCAAGGCAACTGGGTTCAGGAATGAATGATCATAACAACGATGATCACAAATCTCCCTATTGACCTAACACATGCTAACTGCTTTGGAATCACGAGCTCACTGTGGTTTTCGTCGTGCTATAGATAAAGATACTGAAATTCAGGGAGATTGCATTTAAATAAGTACAAGGCCATGGAAACAGTTTCCAATGTACTTTTAAACAAAGTTAATCTCAACAGCTCAATGAAACAGGTTGGACACACATTATCACCATTTTACAGATCAGATAGCCATTTGGAGAAGATAATTGGCCTGGAACCCAAATCTGGCTTTAAAATATGAGTAAGAAACTAGCAAAAGTGAACTGAGATAAGCAATCAATTGATAGACTTTCATTTTTGTTGCCTTAGAGTTGCATTGACCTGGCAAGGGAAATAGGTATTAAGGAATGACTAAAAAGACTCAATGGATCTCAGGGTATCCAGCTATTCCCAGTTGCTAAGCAGATGACTTCAAGGCCATTTCTTGGGACTGGGAGGGCAATGGGCTTTACATCTTTCTCTGGTCCTCCGGAGACAGAAATACATGTGAAAGCGTTGCTCAGGGAATCTTGTGGATTTCAGCCGCATAGCTCCAAGCTCCAATTATCTTATTAGTAGCCTCATCAAAAAGCCATATCTCCGCAATAACCAGTCAGAAAAGATAATGGGAAAAATATTTCATTAAATGGCAATTTAAAACAATAAATTTTATAGGAAAAGTGATGGGACGGTATGAAGAAAATCACACAAATCAAAGCTTGAAGAAATGGAGAGAATTGTTACATTTCTGGTTGGTAAGACTAAAAATGACAAATCTGCCAATCCTTCCCAAATGTAAACCCAATTTAACGCGGTTTCAATAAGATTCCCAATGGTATATTTTGGTATTGAAACCAAATGATCGTAAAGTTCATTTGAAAGAGAAAATTAGTAGCCATAACCATGATTTAAAAAAACAGGTAAATAAAGGGACTTACCTATAAGATATTAAAATATTAAAAATTGAATTAACCAAAATCGTTTAGGGCTTATTAAGCATATGATAAAGATATTGAAAGGCTCAAAGGGACTATAACTACATATATACTTTGACCCAACACTGTGAATTTCTAGGAATTTATGCTGTAGAAAAGCTTGTATGTATATAGATAGACGGATACTAAGCTGTTCATTGCCGTGCTGTTTCTAATATGTAAAAACTACTAACAACTCTGATAAGAATGTGTTCATATGTTTTAAAAGTGAAAAATCTTAAAATGGTAGTAACAATATAAACCCAAAAAGAACTCCGGTGCCATTTCCCTCTCCCCTACAATAAAAAATGGTATGAGGCACTCCTTTTCTGAAGCTACATTTCACGTCAGGCTATTCTCCCTGTGCCTAAAATGGATCCCCGAGCTGGGTGGCATAGTGGTTAAGTCCGCGCTCCGCTTCGGCAGCCAGGGATTCGCAATTTCGGATCCCGGGCGTGGACATAGCGCTGCTGGTCAAGCCACGCTGTGGCGGCATCCCACACAAAGTAGAGGATTGGCACAGATGTTAGCTCAGGACCAATCTTTCTCAGAAACACACAAAAAGAACTGGAATTATCCATGTTGGTAATTTCCCCACTGACAACCGGGAGTTCGCCTGTCTAGGGCTGTTGGTGCAATTTTTCTGAGCCAGGTTCCCGAGGCCGCTCCCCGATCTCCACCTTGATCCCCACCCCTGCTCCGCTTCTTCCTTAGCAGGAAGCAGAGAGACCTGAGTAACTTCACCATCAGAGCGGAGGAAACGAAACCAACTGGGTCCTGAGTTCCAGAAAAGCGGACTATAAGTCACCCTCATCCCTACCCCGGGTTCTCCCATCACTGCCCGGGAATCCGGCTGCAGCCCCTCTGCGCCGCCCCTCCTCCCCCCCCACCCCGCCTCTGGGGCTCAAGCGCGCCCCGGGAGGCCCCGCAGACTCACCCTCGTCCCTCCCGAAGGCGTCCAATGTGTTCCAGAAAGTTCCAGGAAGACACAGGCTTCTCCGAACGCTGCCTGCTGCCTGCTGCCCAGGGGAGAAGTCTGCAGACGCGAGGCGGGGGGGTTGCGAGTCCAGAGCCTCCTTCCCTCGAGTACCCGGCGCTCTGTGCTCTTGACGGCAGTGCGGGATTTCATACGGGCGGCGCCAGCTGTGGCGGGGCGGTTCTGCTTCCTTCCGAAGTGAAACTCGAGACGGCACGTTGTGCCTAAGTCCAGCCCCTACACGGGTCCCTCCAATCAGCCTTTGAACGGCTGTCAGTCTTGCACCCTCCAAAGGCCACTGCCCCTGGGCTGGGACATGGGCAGGGAAGTCTAACGCGTTTCCTTGGAGCTTTGCACGTGGTTCTTGCTGCCAATCACCAGGCTCACGACGCCTGGCTCCCTAGAACCCTTTTCCAGGCATTTCATAGGGAAGCCTCCTTCCTTCCTCCTGGTGTTCTCCTCCTGTCCTTTAGACACTCTCCCTACCCTCCCAAATTCACTCTGTTATAGAGTACTCATGGGTGCCAGGCTCTCTGCTTGGGGCTGGGGATTCAGAAAGGAATAAGGTCCCAGGGAACTATTATAACCAGGACACAATATGAGAAGGATTGGATGGGCAAAAAACTGTGGGAGCCAGATAGAAGGTTCTTGTGTCTGCTTCTCTGTGTTTGAGAAGGGGGTTGGGGTGTGGTGGGGACACACACCTAAGTGGGAAAAAGAGCACTTCCTCCTCTAAGGTCATTGCAGAGCTTTCTGTTACAGTGTGAGATGTGTTTTATTAAAGTTAGCTGTGCCCCCAGCTGGAAAGTCTAAGTGATGTCATTCATTTTCTCATCAGGCTATTTTACTCTGAAAGGACAGACTTGGATTGTACAAAAAGATGTTATGGATTGGGAAGGCAGGGGTTGAGGATGTCTGGGGTGTTTGTTTATTCACTTTTTTGCCCCTGCTATTGTTCCCCATCTATCGCATCATTAGTTTTCTTCTTATCTTAGGTCAGCTTCTCTAGAAGCAGAGCCTGAGAGAGAGATTCAGGTACATGTGATTTATTGAAGGAAGGCTCTCAGGACAGAGGGTAGGATAGGGCAGGGGGGAGAAAAAACACTAAGCAAGGATGTGGTCTCAGTGGATTCTACCTTCAGCCAGATTCCTTGGGGAGGTCTGGAGCACAACGCTCTGGAGCAAGAGGCAGCTTCCATTCTGCCCAGGATAGGTCACATGTGAGATCACAATAAATCTTAACAATTTCAAGAAGCTTGAAATCATACCAAGTACCTTTTCTGACCATAATGGAATGAAACTAGAAATCAGCAGAAGGAAAAATTAACAAATACATAGAAATTAAACAGCACTTAAACAACCATTGTGTCAAAGAAGAAATCAAAAGAAAATTAGAAAACACCTCAAGACAAATGAAAATGAAACACAACATACCACAACCTATGGGATGCAGCAAAAGCAGTACTAAGAGAGTAGTTCATAGTGATAAATATCTACGTTAAAAAAGAAGAAAAATCTTAAATAAACAACCTAACTTTACACTTTAAGGGGCTAGAGAAAGAAGAACAAAATTAAGCCCACAGCCAGAAGGAAGGAAATAACAAATATTAGAGCAGAAATAAATGAACTAGAAAATAGAAAAAACCCAATGAAACTGAGTTTTTTAAAAAGAAAAGATAAACAAAATCAACAAACCCTTAGCTAGACCAAGAAAAAAGAAAGAGATTAAAATAAATAAAATCATAAGTGAAAGACATTACAATTCATGTCACAGAAATAAAAAGAATCATAAGAGACTATGATGAACAATTGTACGCCAACAAACTGGATAACCTAGAAGAAATGGATAAATTCCTAGAAACATACAACCTACTAAGACTAAATCATGAGGAAAGAGAAAGTCTGAACAGGGCCCCATGGCCAAGTGATTAAGTTCGTGAGCTCTGCTTCGGTGGCCCAGAGTTTCACCAGTTCAAATCCTGGACGCGGACATGGCATCGCTCATCAAGCCATGCTGAGGTGGCATCCCACATACCACAACTAGAAAGACCCACAACTAAAAATACACACCTATGTACCAGGCAGCTTTGGGAGAAAAAGGAAAAATAAAATCTCTCTCTAAAAAAAAAAGAAAGTCTGAACAGATCTATAACTAGTATGAAGACTGAATCAGTAATTAAAAAACATCCCAACAACAAAAGCCCAGGGCCGGATGGCTTTACTGGCAAATTCTATGGAACCCTTTAAAAATAATTAACACCAATCCTTCTCAAACTTTTGAAAAAAATTGAAGAAGAGAGAATACTTATAAACTCATTTACGAGGCCAGCATTACCCTGATACCAAAGCCTGACAAAGATACCACAAGAAAAGAAAACTACAGGCCAATAACCCTGATGAATATAGGTGCAAAAATCCTCAACAAAATACTAGCAAACCAAATCCAACAGCACATTAAAAGGATCACACACCATGACCAAGTGGGATTTATTCCTGGGATGCATGAATGGTTCAACATATGAAAATCAATTAATATGACACACCACATTAACAGAATAAAGGATAAAAACACATGATCATTTCAATAGATGCAGAAAAAGTGTTCCACAAAATTCAACACTCTTTCATAACAAAAGCTCTCAACAAACTAGGAATAGAAAGGAATTCTCTCAACATAATAAAGACCATATATGACAAACCCACAGCTAACATCATACTCAACAGTGAAAAACTGAAAGCTTTTCCTCCAAGATCAGGAATAAAGCAAGAATGGCTACTTTAACCACTTCTATTCAACACAGTACTGGAAGTCCTAGCCAGAGCAATTAGGCAGGAAAAGGAAATGAAAAACATCCAAATGGGAAAAGAGGAAGTAAAGTTGTCCCTGTTTGCAGATAATATGATCTTATACACAGAAAACACTAAAGACTCCATAAAAACCCTATTAGAACTAATAAGCAAATTCAGTGAAGTTGCAGTTTACAAAATCAACATACAAAATCAGTTGTGTTTCTATATACTAATGACAAACTATTTGGAAAGGAAATTAGGAAAACAATCCTGTTTACAATAGCACCAAAAAGAATAAAATACCTAGGAATAAACTAACTAAGGGAGTGAAAGATGTACACTGAAAACTACAAAATATTGATGAAGGAAATTAAAGACACAAACAAAAGGAAAGACATCCTGTGTTCATGGATTGGAAGACTTAGTATTGTTAAAATGTCTATGCTCCTCAAAGCAATCTACAGGTTCAATGCGATACCTATCAAAACCCAAATGTCATTTTTTACATAAATAGAAAAAGAATTCTAAAATTAATATGGAACCACAAAAGACCACAAATAGCCAAATCATTCTTGAGAAAGAACAAAACTGGAGGTATCACACTTTCCAATTTCAAAATATATTACAAAGCTATAGGAATCAAAGCATAAACGCCAACATACAGACCAATGGAACAGAATAGAGAATCCAGAAATAAATCCACACATGTACACTGATCTTTCTTTCTTTCTTTCTTTTTTTTTTTTTGAGGAAGATCAGCCTTGAGCTAACTACTGCCAATCCTCCACTTTTTGCTGAGGAAGACTGGCCCTGAGCTAACATCCATGCCCATCTTCCTCTACTTTATATGTGGGACGCCTACCACAGCATAGCTTTTGCCTAGAGGTGCCATGTCCGTACCCAGGATCCGAACCGGTGAACCCCAGGGCGCCGAGAAGCAGAATGTGCGAACTTAACCACTGCGCCACGGGGCCGGCCCCAGTCAACTGATCTTTGACAAGGGTGCCAAGCATACACAATGGGGAAAGGATGGTCTCTTCAACAAATGGTGTTGGGAAAACTGGATATTCACATGCAAAAGAATTAAATTGGATTGTTATCTTACATCACACACAAAAATCAACTCGAAATGGATAAAACACTTAAACATGAGACCTGAAACTATAAAACTTCTAAAAGAAGACATAGAGGAAAAGCTTTGTGACACTGGTCCTGGCAATAATTTCATGGATATGGCACCAAGAGCACAGGTAACGGAAACAAACAAGTAGGGTTATATCAAACTAAGAAGATTTTGCACAGAAAAAGAAACAATCAACAGAGTGAAAAGGCAGTCTATAGAATGGGAGAAATTATTTTCAAATCATATATTTGATAAGGGGTTAATCTCCAAAATATATAAGGAACTCCTACAAATCAACAGTAAAAAAAACCCTAATAACTTGAGGAAAAAAATGGGCTCAAGACCTGAATAGACATTTATCCAAAAAAGATATACAAATGGCCAACAGGTATATGAAAAAATGCTCAACATTACTAATCATCATGGAAATGAAAATCAAAACCACAATGAGATGTCATCTCACACCTGTCAGGATGGCTATTATCAAAAAAACAAAAGACAACGAATGTTGGTGAAGATATGGGGAAAGTGTTACCCTTGCACACATTGGTGGAAAAGCAAAATGGTGCAGTCACTATGGAAAACAGTATGGAGGTTTCTCAAAAAATTAAGAGTAGAACTACCATATAATGCAGCAATCCTACTTCTGGATATTTTTCCAAAAGAATTGAAATCAGGATCTCAAAGAGATAGCACTCCTATGTTCATTGCAGTAATATTCACAATAGCCAAGATGTGAAAACAACCTAAATGTCCATTGACAGATGAAAGGATAAAGAATATGTGGTATATACATACAATGGAATATTGTTCAGCCTTACAAAAGAAGGATATTCTGCAATATGCAACAACATGGATGAATCCTGAGGACATTATGCTAAATGAAATAAGCCAGTCACAGAAAGACAAATACTGCATGACTCCACTTATATGAGGTATCTAAAACAGTCAAATCCATAGATCCAAAAAGTGGAATGGTAGTTGTCAGGTGCTGAGGGAGAAGAGAAAGTAAGGAGTTACTAACCAATGGGCATAAAGTTTCAGTCAAGCAAGATGAACAAACTCTAATCTGCTGTACTACACTGTACCTATAGTCAACAATAACACATTGTACATTTAAAAACTTGTCAAGAGGGCAGATCTCATGTTAACTGTTCTTTCCAAAATAAAAAGAACTATAAGAAAATACTATGAACAATTGCACATCAACCAATTAGATAACCTAGATGAGATAGACAAATTTCTAGACATGCACAAATTACCTAACTGAATCAAGAAGAAATAGAAAACTTGAACAGATGTATAAGTCAAGAAACTGAATCAGTAACCAAAACCCTCCCAACAAAGAGAAGCTCAGGCCAGATGGCTTCACGGGTGAATTCTACCAAACATTTAGAAATGAATTA